GCTCGTGGAGGCGCGCGAGGAGCTTGGCCGCGAGCTGGCCGCGGGTTCGAGCAGCGGAGTAGCGGCAGTTGGCGGCGGGCTAGCCTGCAACAGAGCTGCGAGGTGAGCGATGCCCGCGGGAGAGAGAAAGGATGGCGCGGCCGAAGGGGAAAAGTGGGAGGCGCGCGCGAAGACGGTGGCGCGCGATAAGCTTGGCCTCGAGCTGTGGCGGCGCTCGGCGAAGGGTTCCGGTCGCAAGAGAAAGGGGAAAAGGGAAGGCGAGGCAGCGGGGAAGAAAGAAGAAAGAAGAAGGAAGAAAAGAAGAAAAGAAAAGTAAAGTAAAGAGAAGGAAAAAAATAGTTTTTGTGGATTTTTTTTTTTTTTTGGGTCGTCAAACATGGCGTGGGCACGCCAAGATTAGAGAACATCCACTGACTTCGAGAGTCACCTTACGCACTTTAACGCGTGCCCTCTTCGCGTGGGTACGCCAAGATTCTATTTTCTGCCGGCGTCGCGAGATGTTGAGAATTTACCAACACGATGCGGGCACGCCATGTTTTACAAACGTCCTCTGCCCATGGGACTTGGACTTAGACGCTTAACGCGTGCCCTCCTCGCGTGGGCACGCCAAGATTACCTATCCTGATCAGAGTTAGAAAACATCAAGACTGACTAGTACCCACGTGAGAAACGACATTATTAAATAATTAAGCACTAAAACAACAAAATTAACAATTGGGTTGCCTCCCAAAAGCGCCTTTCTTTAACGTCTTTGACTAGACGTAGCCCAAAAATTTACTTAAACTAAGCAAATAGGGTCTTCCAAGTGCATCATCTACACCCGTTCAATTGGAACCCCTTCATAATACGGCTTGAGACGATGACCATTCACTACAAATTTCTTCTCAGTCTTCAAACTTTGGATCTCTACTGCACCATAATGAAAGACATTAGTCACAACAAAAGAACCAATCCAACGAGAACGTAATTTACCTGGAAATAACTTCAATTTGGAGTGGTACAGTAGAACTTTTTGCCCACACTCGAATGTCTTCCTTGAGATCTGTTGGTCATGAAAAATCTTATTCCTCTCCTTATAAATTATCGCATTCTCATAAGCTTCATTGCGAATCTCCTCCAACTCCTGTAATTGTAACTTCCTTTGAATTCCGCCCTCCTCAATATCCATATTGCATCGCTTAACCGCCCAAAATGCTTTATGCTCGAACTCCACTGGAAGATGGCAAGGCTTACCAAATACCAACCTATAGGGAGACATCCCTATAGGTGTCTTGTAAGCGGTCATGTATGCCCACAAGGCATCTTCCAACCTTGAATTCCAGTCCTTCCTATCAGGGCGGACCATCTTTTCCAAAATAGACTTTATTTCTCTATTCGAGACTTCAGCCTGACCATTGGTCTGTGGATGGTAGGAAGTGGAAACCTTATGAAGTACACCATACTTCCTGAACAAAGCAGCAATTGTTTTGTTGCAAAAATGCGTCCCCCTATCACTCACAACTGCCCGTGGCATTCCAAATCGTACAAAAATATTAGACTTTATGAAATCTGCAACCACCTTAGAATCATTAGTGCGGGTGGCTTTTGCTTCCACCCACTTCGAGACATAATCCACTGCTAGTAAAATGTATAAAAATCCACAAGAATTTGGAAAGGGACCCGTGAAATCTATACCCTAAGTATCAAAAATTTCAATGAAAAGCATGGGCACTTGTGGCAGTTGATCCTTTCGGGATAAATTTCCTACCCTCTGACATTTATCACATGTCTTACAAAACAAGTAAGCATCCTTAAATAAGGTAGGCCAATAAAATCCACTTTCCAACACTTTTCTAGCAGTCCGTTTAGGTCCAAAATGACCCCCACATGCAAAAGAGTGACAGAAAGTCAATATAGATTGGAATTCACTTTCACTTACACATCGCCTCATTATTTGGTCAGCACCTTGTTTCCAAAGATAGGGATCATCCCAGACATAGTACTTTGCATCGCTTCTTAGTTTGTCCTTTTTCGTCTTGGGCCAACCTGCGGGCAATTTGTCAGTAACCAAATAATTCACAATATCTGCAAACCAAGAAGGGGATGAATTAATAGAAAGTAAATGTTCTTCAGGAAAAGACTCCCTTAATGGTAATTCCTCCTCCGCTACCAATAATCGACTTAGGTGGTCAGCTACTAGATTCTCTGCTCCTTTTTTATCTCTGATTTCCAAGTCAAATTCCTGCAGGAGCAATATCCATCTTGTCAAACGGGGTTTAGCGTCCTTCTTGGTCAGCAGATACCTCAAAGCTGCATGGTCAGAATACATAATTACTTTAGCACCTAGCAAATAAGGTCTAAACTTTTCTAAAGCAAAAACAACAGCTAAGAGTTCTTTCTCCGTAGTGGAGTAATTGAGTTGGGCGCCATTTAAAGCTCTAGAGGCGTAATATATTGCGTGCGCCGCTTTCTCCATCCTTTGTCCCAAAACTGCTCCTACGGAGTGGTCGCTGGCATCACACATAATTTCGAATGGGAGATTCCAATCAGGGGGTTGGATGACAGGTGAAGAAGTGAGTAGTTTTTTCAACTTCTCGAACGCTTCTTTGCACTCCTCGTTGAATTCAAAACTGACATCCTTTTGCAAAAGCCTGAAAAGTGGTGCCCCGATCTTTGAGAAATCCTTGATAAATCTGCGACAGAAACCTGCATGTCCTAGAAAAGAACGAACTTTCCGTACAGTTACGGGGTAAGGTAAAGCAGATATCACATTTATTTTAGCTTTATCAACCTCAATTCCTCTAGACAACACTACATGTCCTAGAACTATCCCGTGCTCAACCATGAAGTGACATTTTTCCCAATTGAGTACTAGGTTAGTCTCAATGCATCTTTTTAAAATCAATGTCAGGTTATCTAAGCAATCGTCAAAACTATCACCATAGACACTGAAGTCATCCATGAATACCTCAATTATTCTCTCCACATACTCAGAAAAAATGCTAATCATGCACCTCTGAAATGTTGCAGGGGCATTGCACAATCCAAATGGCATCCTTCGATAGGTAAAAGTGCCAAAGGGGCAAGTGAAAGTTGTTTTCTCTTGATCCTCTGGTGCAATTGCTATCTGAAAATAGCCAGAGAAACCATCTAAAAACAATAATATGCACGACAAGCTAACCTTTCAACCATTTGATCGATGAATGGAAGAGAAAAATGATCCTTCTTGGTCACCGCGTTTAATTTGCGGTAATCGATGCACTGGCGCCAACCCGTAGGCTTTCGAATTGGAACGAGGTCCCCTTCATGATTTTCTTCCACAGTTACCCCTGCTTTCTTTGGCACCACTTAGACTGGACTCACCCATGGGCTATCTGAGATAGAAAAAATAATTCCTACGTCCAGAAGCTTGATTACTTCTTTCTTGACCACTTCCATCATGATGGGGTTCAATCTCCTTTGTGGTTGTCTTATCGGCCTAGCATCCTCTTCCAGGCGAATTCGATGCATGCACACGGACGGTCTTATACCCTTTATGTCCGCAATTGTCCAACCTATAGCTTCCTTATGCTCCCTTAAAACCCGAAGTAGCTTATCATCCTCCCTGGGTGATAATTTGGATGAGATTATCACTGGTAACGTCTCTTTTTTGCTTAGATAGGCATACTTTAAATGTTCGGGCAGAGGTTTTAACTCCACTTCAGGTGCCTGCACGATAGAAGGTAATAGCTTTAGGTGTGGTTCAGGCACGAATATAGGAGCGACATCATACCTTAGAGAACTTTGGCCTAGTGAATGCAAGGCTCCAACCATTCTTTGCAAACTGACATCTAACTCCATTTCACAAGTTGCTTCCAGATCCAAATGTTTGGTGATTGCTGTCTCCAATTCATCCCTGCCATTAATCTCAAATACTTCTTGCACCAAAGGGTCAATTACACTCACAGCGAAAATAGCATTAGAATGACAAGGATATCTCATGACCTCAAATATATTAAAATGAACTATTTCTCCATCAAATTCCATCGTCAGGGTGCCCTCACTAACATCAATTTTTGTACGAGCCGTGCTCAAGAAGGGCCTCCCCAACAAAATTGGTAATGGATTTGGAGAACGTTCATCACCCATATCAAGAATATAAAAATCAGCAGGGAACACTAAATTGTTCACTTGCACTAACACATCTTCTATCACCCCATCGGGATAAGCATTAGTCCTATCAGCCAATTGAATTATAATGCCAGTTTCCTTTAAGGGACCCAAATTTAGCGAAGCATAAATAGTCTTGGGCATCACATTATAGAGGCTCCTAGATCTAACATGGCATTCCGAATGCTAGTGTTCCCTATTTTACAAGGGATAGTGAACATACCTGGGTCTCCACACTTGGGCGGAAGTTTTCTTTGAAGCACTGCGGATACGTTCTCTCCCACAATTATCCTTTCATCTCCCCTCAATTTCTTCCTATTGATGCATAGGTCCTTCAAAAATTTGGCATACCGGGGTACTTGCTTAATTGCGTCAAGTAAGGGGATATTTATCTCCACCTTTCTAAACATCTCCAGAATTTCCTTTTCCTTGTCTTGCTTTTTAGGCATTTCCAACCTGCTAGGAAAAGGTGGTGGGTTAGGCTTAACTGGAACCACTGGGTTACGTATTACCTCTTTATTGGTGCCGGACGTTCCTTCTTCCTCAAGCTCCTTCTCAATGCGGTCCTCATTCTTGTCCTTCGGAGCCACCGGTGCTGGTCCTTCAACCTCTTTCCCACTCCTGAGGGTCATTGCACTTACATTCTTGGGATTCACCTCAGGTTGGGATGGAAGTTTTCCCTTTCCCTAGGAGTCCAGTCGGTTGACAATTGAGGCCAATTGACTCATCTGATTTTCCAAGTTTTGCATACGTGCCTCCATCTCTTGACTGCTGGCTTCAGTGTCCTGCTGAAATTTCATAGTGTTAGAGGCTATGGTTTTAACCATGTCTTCTAAGGACATACCTGGGTTAGAGGAAGGTTGATTCTTTGTTTAATATTGTTGCTGGAAGCCCTGTTGTCTATTGGGGGTGAAATTTTGTTGCTTATTTCCCCCATAACTCAGATTTGGATGATCCCTCCAACCCGGATTGTATGAGTTGGAATAGGGGTCATACTGTCTACGTGGCATGGGCATGTTACCAGCCATGTTTGCTTGCTCAATTCCCTCCTCTTGTAACTGTGGGCACGAGTCAGTGGTATGACCAATGTTCGTACAAATCCCACACACTTTGGCCTGCTGTACATTTCCTACAGCTATCTGTCGAACAAATGAGGTTAATTCAGATAACTGCTATTGAATGGAAGATGAGCTTACCTCGTTGACCTTCCTCGTAGGAACATCCTCTCTTGTACCAAACTGCTGGCAGTTCTCTGCCATTCGCTCGATTAGTTCCCAAGCCTCTTGGGTAGTCTTATTCACCAGTGCGCCTCCACTTGCTGCATCAATGATATTTCTATCGTTCATCAGTAGCCCCTCGTAGAAGTACTGAATCAGCAGTTGATCACTTATTTGGTGTTGAGGGCATCGGGTGCGCAGCCTGGTGAACCTCTCCCAATATTCATACAAGGATTCCCCGTGAAATTGTTTGATGCCACATATTTCCTTTCGCAAACTAGCAGCTCTGGACGCAGGGAAATATTTTTCAAAAATTTTTTTCTGCATCTCTGGCCACGTGGTGATAATGCCTGCAGGTAGACAGTATAACCAGTCTTTTGCCAAATCCTTGAGAGAAAAAGAAAAGGCCCTTAACTTAATTTGTTCATCAGTTACTCCCAAAGGCTTCATACTCGAACACACCACATCAAATTCCTGCATGTGTTTGTGGGGTTCCTCACCTGACAGACCATGAAAAGTAGGCAACAAATGTATTAGACCAGGTTTTAATTCAAAAGCTACATTTTCACTAAGGCGAGGGAAAGTTATGCAGAGAGGTTGTTGGGTCAAGTTTGGAGCGGCCAACTCCCGTATTGTTCGTGCATTTGCCATGGTGACTTCCTCCTAGTCCGAATCACTCGAGTGATCACTATGCAGATTTAACGATTCCACCTCCGGATCCAGTCCTTGAGATGTACCACTGGGCTGCTCCTCTCTGAGCTGTCTAGTCTCTTTCCTAGTTCGGCTTGCAGTCTTCTCTACTTCAGGGTCAAAAATTAAATCGCCTGTACGAGAAGAACGAGGCATAAACTAGAGAAATATCAGAAAGAAAGAAAGAAAGCAAAAACAGATTAGATTTAAAAAGGAACAAATAATTAACGTCAGTCCCCGGCAACGGCGCCAAAAATTGACAGGTGCCGAACCTGTGCAATAATAAATACTTGCTCAAGCAAAATACAACTTCTGTAGACAGTGATAAGTAGGGTCGAATCCACAGGGACTAGTGATATTTGTTTCTTTTAAAATTCCAATTGGAATAAGGGGGATTTTATCGGAGTTAAACTAAAAATAATTAAATAATTCACTGGAACAAATGATTAACTAGCATGAATACGAAAAGGAATTAAATCAAGAATATATAAAAATTCTAGCCAAGGATACAACTACTCAGGCACAGTCCAATTATCCGATCATTGATGCAAAAGAGGTTCACTTAATGTATTAATAGGCTAGTTATAGCCGTTGACGAAGTCTGACAACCAATTTTTCCTTAATTTATTGATAACCAAGGTACGACCGTTGATTACCCCTAATCAGAAAATACTCCTAGGTACAACCATAGGAATTAATTTTCCAATTGCATTAACAACTAGAAAAACCTAGCCCTAATCAATAACACGCTACGAGGGTTATTTAAATTAGATTGCACGCTCCCATGATGTGTAAACACACCAGTTGCCACTAATATTAATCAATCAAACAATTACGGATTTAATTGACTAAATTGACACGAGATTAATAAATCACATTGAACATCGGCCCTTGACATCCAATTAATAAATAAATCCCATGAGAATTCAAGCAGATAGCATGCAAATATTAATAAATTGAGGAACGCGTGGAGACTAATTAGATCTCACAGAATTTCGGGACTGCGCCGTCGAGTTGACCCTTGACTAGATTGAAGGTTTAGCCACGCCGCATAATTAAATCACCACACGAATTAAATGATTGCAACGGCATTGCCTTTTTACTAGAAAGCAAGGAATAAAAGATGTTTTCCCGTTGGAGAATATTGTCAAACACCTGGCGTGTGTCAGAGGCCAGTCAGAGAGAAAAAGAAAGAAAACTAAAAACTGAACTAAAAGCTAAAAACTCTCCGCTTGCTTCTGTCCGTTCCTTACTTATAGAGAAACAAAAAGGAAGTTGACTAAAAACTATCTAGTCTCTGGTCCCACCGTAATTGGGAAGCAAGCAAAAGATTACAAGGAAAAAGCTTCTCCTCGTGTGTTTCTCTCAAAAGCCCAATTGAAGAAAAGCCTTTGCTTCTTCGTGGTCCCCGCTGATGTCCCTCTTAAAAGCCAAAGGAGATTACTAATGCTCTCTCCCGTAGGACTTGAGCCAATGAAGTACACAAGGTGGGCCCTTAGCCCAATTGTCTTTTGTTTCCTTTCTTTTTGGTAGTTTTCTGCTCCATTCCTGGAATTAGACCCAAGTACCAAATATAAGTAGATATCGGCAATTAACACAATATTTTATAGGTATAACAGGGGAAATGAGTAATAAAATTACTATCAAATAATGCCCTATCAGCAAGCAGGCCCATAGTCGTTAAGATTTAAGACATTGCACAATACATCTTTTTTGACATGGTAAGAAAAACTTTAAACTGGCTTAATGAACTATCAATGATTGATTGGATGAAGATAACTCCTGCTTTGATTATGACTTTTTGTTAATGAAGCTGAGGTGAAAATTAATTAGTCAAATGAATGATACATAATGCAAAACATTAGGAATTTAACTTCCAATTGTGCCTTCCCATAATGCAAAAGATCACAATAGATAGATTAGATATTCATAAACCTATTTCGTCTCTGGTCTCCTTTATAAGCTCATTTTCATGGATCGTATAATTTCTTCATTACTGAGCTATCACTTTTTAATCCCAGCTTTCACTGTTTGAAAAGCATTGGTATCAATACTTGGGTCGTGGTCGATATGCGTAAACTGTAAGCTGGTGGAAGCTTACTGACCATTTCGGTTGGCATATTAAATCAAGGTTGAAAAATAAAAATTTCTAAATTATTATTTAATAGGTTTTTCAAGTTAAGGTCTTAGTAACTCTATTTAAGTCAAGTTATCGTAGTTTTATTATCAAGGAATTAGTATTTTATTAGAAGATTTATTATGATTGTAAGACTTATTTACTAAATCATCTAGTCTACAAATAGGGAGTCTTATTGTTATTATTAGTTATGGAGGAAAATTTGATAGTCTTGTTATTATGATGCGTATTTAATATATTGTTGTAGGTATTATTTTTTTTCTCCCACAGATACTCTTTTGTGTGTAAATTACCTCTCTATGTACATTATTTCTATGAAATTTATCTCCTATCTTTATTGGGTTGTACAATTTATGTATTAAGTTCTGACAACGAAGTTTAGCTCATTTCCGGATTTCCCTCGAAAATATACCAAGAAAATCAGGCCCCATTAGTTCCAATTGTTTGAGCTATATAAGCAAAACAACAAGAATCTGTCACAGCTCAAACATGTTCCCAATCCAAAGAAACTTTTATCATTCAATCATCAGTTTGTTGCCAATTAATCCACCTTTGCCTTCACAGTTCATTGAAAGCCCGAATACCATGTGGGGATGGATTTCGTTCATCAACATCAGTAAAAAATTTTCTCCTACTCTTAGTTGCCATGAGCTTTTCAGTAAACCATGCTTCAGCTGCAAAACTGTTTCGAAATGAGACTGATCGACTTGATCTGCTTGAATTCAAGAATCAGATATACGTTGACCCGCTTGGAGTGCTGAACTCTTGGAACCGTGGAATGCAGAAATTGTGAGAGTAGTTGACTTAAAATTATAGACTTAAAAAGTCCGTCAATAGCAACTGTTTGGTCCTTCCTGGAAAGTAGTTGAGTGAAGTGGACAAGTCATTTAGCAGACAGATTGTCATAGACATGAAAGAATAATAAATTGTGGCCCACGAATATAGAAATTGTGAGGGTCTGAAAATTGAATAATCTCCCGATGCTCAAAATTTGTCGATAGAAAAATTTCTTTGTTGCCTCTCCCAAACACATTGAGATTCTCAGCTGAAGTAGAAAGGGAGGCGAAAGACCAAAACAAAGCAAAACGGACAATGTCATCCCAAAGTATTTGTCAGAGTGTAATTTACTTCAACAAAATCCAGTGCCTCCTTCAAGTCATGCTCAGGGCATGCAAGGAACAACAAAAACTAAGAGTTCATGGCTACTGAGTGCCAGATTGACAAACAAAGCCTCGTACGGGAAGCTTTCTACTGTTTCCTAAGAAGAACAGAACATCACGTCCAGTTCTTTGACAGGCTTGAAATCTATGCCCTAAGGAATGAGATAGAATACACATTCTCATCGTTCATTTCTGTCTCAAGAAAATGGCAAACTTCAGAAGGAGAAATTCACAAAGAAATTCATCCACCAAAACCCATTACTTTCTCATACAAATCCCTTTTGGTGGAAGTCGATGTGGTAATCCACTTGTATATGGTCATGTCTTTACTCATAATTTTGCTTTTTCAAGAAATTAATTTGTTTTACCTAAAAAATCAAAAACTAATAGCGGGGTCAATGACAGGTGTCGAGCCTGTGCAATAATAAATACCTACTTGAGAAAAATAAATTTTCTTTGTATAGTAGTGAGTAGGGTCGAATCCACAGGGACTGGGAAAAATTCGATTCTTTTCAAGTTCGGGACACGGGGGATTTTTTTCAGAAATAAACTAAAAATAATTAAACAATTTAACCAAAAATAATTAATTAATTAATACGAATGTAAATAGCAATTAAATAAATAATAAATAAATTCTAGCCAAGGATACAACTACGCAGACACAGTCCATTCATCCGATCATTGATGCAAAGAAGGTTCACTTAATTTTATTAACAGGTTAGTTATAGTCGCCGATAAACTCTAACGACCAGCTTTTCCTTAATTTATTGATAACCAAGGTACGACCGTTGATTACCCCTAACCAGGAAATACTCCTAAGTACGACCGTAGGAATTAATTTCCTAATTGCATTAAAAACTAGAAAAGCCTAACCCAAATTAATAACACGCTACGAGGGTTATTTAAATCAAATTGCATGTTCCCCTAGTATGTGAAAATACTAGTTGCCACTAATATTAACCAATTAAATTACGGATTTAAATGATTAATTTGACAGGAGATTAGAGAGTCAAATTGCACATCGGGCCCTTGATATCCAATTAACAAAATAATCCCATGAAAATTGAAATAGAAAACATGCAAATATTAACAAATTAAGGAACACGTAAAAATTAATTAGATCTCACAGATATTTGGGACTGCGTCTTTGCGTTGATCCTTGACTAGAGGAGAAAATTAGCCACTCCTCATAAGAAAATTCCCACGCAATTTAATTGGAATCAAATACATAAATAACTAACTAAGAATTTAGAAAGAAACTTGAGTCTCCGTAGACTCTTTGAAGAAAAGTTGCACACCACACAACAAGAGAAGGAAGAACTCCTTCTCTGAAAACCAAAAACTACCTCTATCCTCCTACGGAGCTTATTTGGAGAGAAAACTAAAACTAGTCTAATGTCTTATGAAGCTCTCGTCTAATTCTCCTCTGCACTAGTTTCATAAGAGTAACTCTGCACTAGTTTCATAAGAGAACTAGTTACGTAGGAAGCAAATAGAAAAGCTACTTTCATCATCAAAGTCCACCTATGGCTAATGAGTACATCTCCCGAAAGAGGAACACATTTTCTAAATCAATGTTACGTGGTCCCCGCAGAATTCTCACCTTTTTGATTTCTTATTGCTAGTGGACTTGCCAGGACTTAATAATAGGAAGGCAACTCTTC